CTCCTTAATGTCTTATCACCCCTTAACAGCATAAAGGCCTTGTATCCTATAAAGTGGTGTTTAGTAAATGAAAAGTTTTGTACCATCTTAAGTTAACATGAAAAATCAGGTAAACTTATTTTACTAATTTATTATATGTAGATTATTTCACAAATGTTGATTATTTACACAGAGATTAATTTCAGCATGGGCTTTTATTTCCTGACAATGTTCTAAAAACATGGGTCTAGTCACTTGTTTAATATTTATACAAGAAGAGAACTTTGGGTATTGAAATACAATTCTACAAATAAAAGACTATAAAAAGAAGTTATATAATAATAATTTATAGGCTAATTGAAGCACTGTGAAATAAATAAATTGTCAAGAGTATTAGGAAATTAACATAATTAACATTTATTCCTTTGAGTTATCTTTCTCATTGGGGAAAGTGAACCTTAAAATAGGAATTGCAACTCAAATTTCCTGAACTTTTACCAATTTTACTCGTTATTCAATTTGGCATTGGGAATGAAGGACAATTTACAGAGTTCTTCAGGTGCTACAGTCAATGCATATGCAGGCTCATTTGAACACAGCTCACAGTGCTGGTACTTTCTATGTATTTTCCTAATATGGCATATGCTGTATGAATGGTCATGCAACAATAATAAATAAATCAATAAATAAATAAAATAGAAAGGGTTATAATGAGACTTATAAGGTTCAAATTGGGGCTTTTTGTCAGTGTTGGTTTCTGCTGTGTCTCTAAGTTGTTAAGATTTGCTATTTCACACAGATAAAAGTTGCTTTAGTTAAAATTCTATATTCACAGTTTTTAAACTCGCAAAGGGTAAGTTGTTTAGGTAACTAGTTTTCTTTATCACTAATAAGCACTTAAGGCGAGATTACCTAACTACCTAACAGCAGGGGGGGGGGGGGTTAACACGTATTGTTCCACAGGCTAGGTTACAATCCAAACCATTTCCTACAATATTTTCTTTTTAATAGTATGTGCTTACTGTTGGAAATTAAGACACATATGCATATCTCAGGGGGCATTTTCCCATTGAAAATATCAGTTCAAACCCAGGTGTCATTTGCATGTAATATGATAGGTGTTTATCTCTCATCTGAGCAGTTACATGTAGCATAATTATTTTAGGTTACTTTACACATTTATCTCATTTGGGATTAAGATGCATTAATCGGTGCATATATATGTACATGCAGTTTACATTCATGCATTAGCTAGTGGGTACAAATACAGGTTAGCTAGGGGATACAAATACAAATCCACATGTGTGTAGGAGTTAAAGATTCATAGTACTAAGATAAGATAAACTTCTCCAGCATTTTAGGGTATTAGATATAGGATAGGTTTCCACTGACTAAGCATATTAATTTTTATGCTCTCTATCATATATCCATTTTCTACAGCCTTAGAAAGAGTTTGAAGTCTATTATTTAAATAACCTATTCCATAACATATTTTTGCAGGGGGGGGGGCTTAAGGTGTGAAAAGATCATGCATTTTTGATAGAGCATCAGCTGGGAAGGGGTTTAGAATAAAGGATTTAGTCATAGGTGCCTTCAATGTCTGCTGCAGTCCAACTACATTTACAAATGAGCAGTAAAATACAAAGTCCTCCATTGTGTGTCTTAGTTTGAAAGGTACTTATTATATACAAGATTTAATCAATTTTAAATGGTCCTTTGAAGAGTTCGCTTTCAAAATAAGTGGTACAGGTATAACATCATTCTCTCAGAACTGGCAAGATACATAACCAAATATCACAAAACATGTTCTGTAGTTTACAAATCGGGCATTTGAACACTTTTAAAATTATTGTCAACAATACAGGAATAGCATAATCATGCTGAAAGGGAAAGGGGGGGGTTAAAGAGTAAAGGTGCTCATTCATCTTGTTTCTAATCTCTGCATGAAAGTATTTTATCACCTAAAAAATAAATAAGAAATAAAATTCAAATTTATAAACAAATAAATAAAAAGGGGGGGATCTAAATAAAACGTATTTTCTACATAATTTTCTTACATTAGTCCAGGTAGTAGTTCTCTCTTGCCAGCTGGATTTTAATAATGGAATCTGAGACCAAAAGCAATATACAAGTAAATTGGAATGATATAAATTCAGGAGGGGGGGCGTTAGGCCCAATTAATTTGAAGGGAGACCAGAATTATTTTAATGCAGGGTAGTTCTACAGTGGGTTGGCAATGAGAGAGAGTGATGTTCTCGATTGATGGGTTGCTGAGGGTTTTGAGTAGGCTAGGAGTCCATGGTGGGTGGTTAAATTGAAGTTGCCTACCCCCACCAGGTGGCGGTGGGCACCTACGGTGCCCATGTGGCGAAATCGTCACCTTCAATTTAACCATTGAACTGTTGATTTTGTTGACTTTTTGTGGTTGATGATGATATATGTGATGGTTGATGTTGATATATGTGATGTTGACTTTGAAAATTATATCTTATACAATTTAAAGCTAAAGCAAAATAATATAATTATAAAAGATAATTTGTGTTGAAATGTGTCCGTAGCACGAATGAGGTCAACCCAGCGTGCTACTTTTCCCGTTAGGGAGGGCACAACTTATGTTGATGTTGGGGGTACGCCATTTTGCCGGCTGCCCCACTGTTGTGTAGACCACTGTGGACAATACCTGCCAACTCGAATAAAACATTAAACTGAAATACGTAGCAATTGTTTATTATATACATAGGTCTTTGATAATACCGCATATTTGAGTTCATCTCACAATATGCGCCGTTATCAAAGCTCTATCCTTTTATTATATGTCATCATTCACCTCCTTTTTGTGGAAAAACTAATAAATGTGATAAGCCGGAATTTATTTATCCATCCATACAGTGTCGGTACTTAGTCACTAGGTTTACGGGTTATCTCCCCTTTTCTATGCATCAATGAAAGTGAAAAGTGGGTGATGAAAGTATCCGATTTATGTTTTTGTATTATGAAATACCCTCCCACCTCAACCCTTGAGCTAGGTGTTAAGTATATACGCTTTCTCCTTTTGTTTGTTTAAATAACGTTTTTCATTGTTTTACATGGTTTGGCTATACCAAATTTATTAGAGTTATGCAAATGTTATTGAGAATCTTTTTCTGCTGTGGGTTTTTGTTTTTGTCTTTTCAGATATTAGAGATTTCGTTGAAGGAGACTAACGATGCTGATCTGAATTGCCTGCTATTTCCGTATTCTGGGACCTTTGGAATGATCTCTGGCCGAATACCATGCATGACAAGGGTCAACTTGGCGAATTATCCATTCGAGGAGTTCGGGGAAAGACAGTAAACTATACTTCACAGTGGTCGTATTGGCGAAATCGTCACCTTCAATTTAACCATTGAACTGTTGATTTTGTTGACTTTTTGTGGTTGATGATGATATATGTGATGGTTGATGTTGATATATGTGATGTTGACTTTGAAAATTATATCTTATACAATTTAAAGCTAAAGCAAAATAATATAATTATAAAAGATAATTTGTGTTGAAATGTGTCCGTAGCACGAATGAGGTCAACCCAGCGTGCTACTTTTCCCGTTAGGGAGGGCACAACTTATGTTGATGTTGGGGGTACGCCATTTTGCCGGCTGCCCCACTGTTGTGTAGACCACTGTGGACAATACCTGCCAACTCGAATAAAACATTAAACTGAAATACGTAGCATTTGTTTATTATATACATAGGTCTTTGATAATTGATGTTTGTACAGTTTTCTTAGATTTTAAAAATGTGTGGTGAACAAGGAAAGTCAAAACCTTGTGAATCTAACGGTGGAGAATAGAGGAATTTTATATTTATGTGCGATATATTTTTTTTCATTCAGGATGCTTGTTTGATAATGACTGCAAATATAAATGCAACTGGAGTCAAACATATGACTGTGCCTTGTCTGAATGTTATTGTCATAATTATAAATAAAAAACATGGGAGCTGTATAATTGATTACTCTTAAGGCAGTATTGAAGGGTTTGAGTCGGACGATTTCGGTATTTTAGAAAAATGGCCAATGGAAACACTAACAATATACTAGTTATTAAACAGTACTATTTAATAGGAAGATGAATGTTGACAAGTGGAAACTTTGACAATAAGAACCTATTCGTCAATATCGTCAATATTTCCAAGTCGGCAATGTTTCAATCTTAACGATATTTTTTGTATTATTTGTCATGATAAATCCATTTACGGTCTTTTCATCCTCACAATTTTAATGGTTCAAAGTACAAAAACTGCATTTTATTTTTAGGTATTATAATTTAAATTTACTAATTATTACAAGAAATGCCACATTATTTAAGAAGATAAAGTTTGATTGTAATGATTATACAAATATCTAAATATCCAACAAAGGGGGATTTCAATTCTGAGTTAATGACGCGAGCTTTTTTGTTAATATGACTATACAGACATAAAAAAAAATTCGCGAAATTTGGCAGACTTTAGAATTTTCATAGTGTAAAAGAGTATAAAAAATAGGAACGTTTTGAATATAACAATGAATAGATTGGTTTATTTTTTAGTTTTACCCTGTAAACTCTACCACTTGCCAGAGGGGGGATGCAGATTTTTGAATTTGTTCTGTCAAGGGGCACACCATGGGTGTAACAGATCAAAAGACGTCGCCTGTACTTCCTGATTCCACTCTGGATTATTTTAAGAAGTTCGAGTCTGCTTTGCTCCGGTTTGTATTTCTTAATGGACGTTTGAAATTGATTACTGTTCGAAATCTTCATATTCCATACAACTAAACATTAAACTACAGAAATCACCCTGTCACATATGTTTTATGATCCCATATATCTATGGTTTATCAAAGATTTTAACAATGATAAAGCTAATTTAAAAAGCTGTATTTACGTAGTATATGTGGATTTTGATCATAATTTAGCAACATGCTCCCACATATGTTACAAATATATCCGGAAATCTGGGAATATATAGACAATTACAGATTTCCAGCGTATTGGTACAGGACGCGACGCGGTAAGAGCATGCATCTTCTCGTGAAACACGTAGTCATCTTTTGGCTGTTTGTAGAAGGTGAGGATTTTTTAATTTCGGAGAACTCTCACAGGTTTAACAATGACTTCCAAATCTCATATAATATAAATATTTTATGTATAAATTAATAAGGCCGAAATGTTTTACTTCAATGAAAAAGAATAATCTAACACACAGTGATCGTGAAAACTTCAAACAATTCAAATCTGTAAGCAGGGCAAACCAGGTGTAACCAAGTGCCTAGAAGAATTAAGAATCCCCTGCTGACCAGTCACACCCACTGTGTGCCCTATGTTTGATCAAGTACTGAAGGTGGAACATTCTACTTTCAAATATACTAGTATATCACAAAAGCAAAGGTCTAACAATAGGTATGAATCAAGTCAAACAAAAAACGACCGATTGATTAGATTATACCGGTATTTGTTAATAAGGCCATTATAACGATCACAGAATTTACAAAATATTGACTTTAAACAACTGATGAAATCTTAAGTGTTAGTAGCCTTCCTTGGTTCAAAAAAAGATCATACTCTGATCATGCTCTTGAGTAGCGAATAAGGTTGGATACATTAACAACATATGCAGGTGAGAGTGGAATATTACTACATAAATAAGGAAAGTTGATATGGAAAAGCTGAAGTCAACTCGTTTGTCTTGCAATTTAGTTGTTAGTTGGCCTTTATCATCTATATTCAGTAAATCATCCAACTACGAAGCAGATATTGCAGACTACATGATGTCTTTGATTTCAAATGACATTTCCTAATAATAGATTCAAGCATGAAAAATGGGAAAAGTAATGGTATTGATATACATGTATATTCTTTGATGGTCTAGTATTCCACTGTAGAACCTAAGGGTTGGTAATTTGATCCATTATGGATCAGCACAATATTCATTTTTACTAGAATTAAAAATTGTTTCTAAAGATTCCCTGTAAACTTAATAAGAATGTGTGGAATTTTTCCGGAATGTTAGTTCTGCAGATAATTAAAAAAACAAGTACAAATTGAAAAGTTACATTTAATTTATGTTACTTTCCTCATATTAAAACAATTTCAAATGTTAGAATGCTACAGATCACTTCATTTCCGATGTTTTCTCTTTATAAGTGAGACACAATTTTCACGAATTTCGGCTATCGCTCTTTGTAATCATTAGGAATATTAATATATGTGAGAATGATTTTTTGCAAGAGCATTATATTGTCCCGCGTAATAATATTTACGAAAATAAAGTTCTTGTGAATAAAAAGTGATCACTAGAAATATATCATTTTATATTTTTAATGAATTTTTTTGACATTAAAGCCTCCTGTTGTATCTTTGATTATCAATGTTATGGAGTGATTGACTGTCCAATTTATCAGTGGCCAGCTTGCTTATACGGACAATGTACATGCAAGGAAGGGTCTAGTGAGTATTTTGTAGATTTATAAATCATCTAAACACGATACCATTTCAATGAGCAAGTTGTTTTTTAACTTTAAATGGTATTCATGCTTAATTGATCTATGTACAGTTTTCTTATTTTCAAAAATTTGTGGAAACTACGTAAAGTCAAAACCTTGTGAATCTAACGGTGGAGAATAGAGGATTTTTATATTCATGTGCAGTATATATATATTTTTTTTCATTCAGGATGCTTGTTTGACAATGACTGCAAATATAAATGCAGACGGAGCCAAACACCTGACTGTGCCTTGTTTGAATGTTATTGTCATAATTACAAATAAAAAAAAAACAGGGAACTGTATAATTGATAACTCTAAAAGGCAGTATTCAAGGGTTTAAGTTGAACAATTTCGGTATTTTAGAAAAATATCCAATGGAAACACTGACAATATACTAGTAATTAAAAACAGTGCGATTTAACAGGAAAATTAATGTTGACGAGTGGAAACTTTGACAATCATAACCATTTCGTCAATATCATCAACGTTTCCAAGTCAGCAATGTTTCAATCTTTACGATAGTTTTTGAATTATTTGTCATGATATATCAATGAAAGATGAAATGGAGTATTTGTATCGAGACATACCATACTCGAATTCATCATAAAAGCAAAGGTCTTAGGTAATCTGAAAAATGTTGAAATCATTTCATATTCATACAATTCAGTTGTTAGGTGGTCTTAATTATATATAATCGTCTATAGCCAGTAAAACCTCCAAATATGAAACAGATGATACAGACTTTATGGTGCCTCTAGGTTTATAGGGATATATCGAATCTTCAGACAAAATGGAGATAGTACAAAATGTAACTACTATCAATTGAAAATATGTCGTCGATATTTCTGAGAGAAAAAAGGGAGACAACAAGCAGTATCCAAGCTCACAAAATCATTCAAACAATACAAACCAGGAGCAGGGCAGAGACGGATCTCCAACACTTCAAAGGTGGAATCAGGTGCCATGGATGAGTGAGCATCTCCTGCCAACTGGTCTTCCCGCTGTGTGCTCCTTGTCATGATTGGTAAAGTATATAACAGAAAAAACGAAAACAATTCAATGTGTCAATAAAAAAATTGATATGGAAAACGTCATTAGCATTTGACTTATTGATAGATTTTATCTACTGACAAGATCATCTACCCTTTTAGAATTTACGAAATGCTAACTTCAACGAATCTGCTAATATGCCTGTTTCATCAACTTGTTTGTCAATAACTTACCTCGTTTTAGAAACTGTTCATACGTAGGACACTCACTTGCTTATCGAATCAACTCGGAAAAAAACGATATGAAGGTGATAATGGTATATTGCTGCATAAGTAAGAGAATTTTATTATTGAAAAGTTTTAGTCATCAAGTATTTTGTTCTTATTAATGCCTCTTTCTAGTAAAATATCCAAATAAGAAACAGAATCTGTGTTATCTTTTATTTCAAGCTCACTGGGATATATCGTTTCCACATATGAATGGAAATATCTTCTTTTTTTTTTCTTTTTTTTTTTGAAAATGCATCGTGAATACCTCTAAATGTCGATTTGAAGAACACAGCAGGTGTTTTCTTCTTCTCATATAAAAGAAAAGACTTAAATACATTCTGCTTCATATGAATACAAAAAATAGATCTGCTAATAACGTGGCGCATTTTCCTAAAATATTTTGTGCTTAAAAATGTAAGAAGAGATTAGATAAAAACGTAACATAAACACTCCATCTCCGCACGTTTTGCATGATGCACTTTGTAATATTGCAATTCATTTAAAGTAAATAAACAACAATTACTAAAGAAAGTGTTCTTTTATATAACAAAATATGTTGCTAACAATATGATACGTTCAGTTCTAAATGACAATGACTGTGAAGCGCTAGACCAAAATCGATGCGGTGCTTCTGCATCAGCTGCCATTGTTTACATTAACTACGATGTCGCGTGATGCCCCAAAACCAAGACGTACATGAACTGGACGAACACTGTTAAGTATTTTCATCGGAAATTTTCTATGAATTAATTTTTGTGTGAAAATATTGATCTCAACGACGTTGGATCCTGATATTTAAGGTCTTAAATTTTTTTTTCCAGTACTTTTTTTTTAGTTTTTACATGCATAGCTTAATTAAAATTCAAATTAAAAAAATGGGGGTTAATATGCTTCTTTTAGCGCTACAGTACATTTAATATGACATTTTTGCACTGAAATCAGTATCTTAATTAAAAATTACTTCTTCGACGTTTTCCCTCCAATATTTTTATTCAATTAAAGCATGAAACAAAATGAATTCTAAATCTATTTTAAAAAGGCACTTTAAAATTGTGACAAAGAAAAAGTTTCAAATTGCTTCGAATAAATTAATTATTTGACCTTTCTGCACTAATAAAGTGTGATTTTTCTAACATGGAAAATTTAATAAGCAAGCAAGAAATTTATTGTAAAGTTTTCATTTTTTCTGAATTTAGGCAAATAGGTCAAAGTAATCTTAAATATTCAGAAAAGAACATCAAAAGTCGGGGTATATGATGTAAATTTTCAGATATAATAATTACAAAAAAAGTCTCAATTTTACGTTAAAATTGGCTCACTTTTTTCCCTGGATTTTCAGAATATATTAATATATTTGTCACACTTCGTTTAAAGAGTTCATAGGAAATAAATAAATAGATATCTAAGAACCAGCATACACTGTAACACGTTTCACTGCAAAAAACATCATTGTGTGCAACAAGCCTGAAAGAAATCTAAAATTATAGCTCAAAAGGGGAAAAAACTGATCATTTTCTTCTAAAAAACCTTCCGCCACAAAATAAATTTCCAAGCTTAATTCTACTTGAATGGAATTTAATCGCGGTTTCTTTATTGAATACAGTTCACTTTCATTGTATAGAATTCAGATTTAATGTTAGAACGTAAAAATGATGCAGAATTTTACAAATAAAGAACGAGACCAAAATAATCCTCTCAAAAGCTCAGGATCGAACGTCCTTAAGGGTGTACCTTTCAATCAAGTCCGTTTTTCTCCCTTGCGTTGCCGCCTTCCTGTACATCAATTCCTTTTTTCATGGAGTCCAAGTGATGTAGCGCGACGCCATCGTTTACAATGGATTCAAACGAACAGCTAACCACCGATAGAAATCAAGCGTCTTGCGGTGATTGTTTACCATTGTATAACACAGTTACCCATGGGAATGAAAAAATATTGTTAGATGACCTGGTCTTCAAAAACCACATAGACATTGTCAATTAGATACTCTAACATCATTTGTGTAAACAATCAGAATGTTTTATGATAAAATAATTTTGCAAATGACCAATGACAAGGTAAGTTTGTTTGTTTTTGTTGTTTGACGTCCCTCTCGAGAATTTTTCACTTATATGCATATAAAGACGCCACCACTTGTCGATAGAGAGCTACACATTTTGTCCTATACTTGTCACTTAAAGTCGCTTGGTCCGATTCTAATCGCTAAAAATATATATTCGTTTTTCTTCTTGAAAAATAGTTGTCCATAAATTGTTTAAACTTTCGTCAAATTATATCCCCAAAGTCTTTTTCTTTTAAAAGATATCAAAATTCAAAAGTTAAAAAAATAATTTTTGTTAGGTCACACAAAAAATAATCCTATGTTGATCATTGTTGATATCGCGTGAAATCACCTTCGAAAAATTAAATTTATCGCTTACATGTTTATCTCATGAAGAACGAACCCGAGCATTTTTTTCACAACAAAGCTAAGTATTACCTGTACACGGACAATATTTTAGCTCCTTTAAAAAATCATTTAAAATATCTGATTTTCCTTTATTCTTTAAATATGCATATGAATATAAAAATTACTATGAATTATATTCAATTAATGTCTTCATTTTGAAAAGATGTATTATGACTAAGGCTTCTACTAATAGAGAAAAAAAATACTCGGGTTTGAATTATCTTCATTATTAGATATATCCGATAAACTTATTTTTTTTCAAAATTGACTTCACAACAGATCTTAACTTCCGTCAGGAACTACTGTTTGTCAATAAGGTTTTTGATCTGCATTTTCCATGTAAGGATTGTTGTAATAAACTATTAAATCAATCTTATAATTTATTTTTATATATAATCTATGTAATGACGTACTTTTATTGTGTAAGATAATATGTGCCTGTTTCGGGTTAAGCGGCTTTAAGGCCATTGAGCAGGGAGAGCTCTTTTTTGTGCCAGCACCTACTGCGACACAGGACCTCGGTTATACGGTCTCATCCGTCCCACAGTGAGATTCAAATCTGTGACGTAAGGATCAACACCTTGCTTCGCGACTCTAGAGCAGGCGCTCTAACCATTGCGCCACACGGGCGACGACAATGTAAGTCAATTTACGAGTTCCAATTTTATGAAAAGGGAGCTGCCAATGATGTCAAAAAGTCCAGGCTTTAATTTGTTATCGTAGGGAATGGTTGTATATAGAATTGAAAAGTCGTAAAGATTTTTTGGTCACTTTCGTTGGTTAAGAAAATTATTTTTCGCGATATAAAGCAAAACTTTCGTGAATAGACGCGAAACTTTCGCGAATAAACGCGTAACTTTTGCGTTATAACGCGAGACTTTTGCTGTTTTACCAAGACATTTGCATAAGTCTCAACTTTGTTTGGATTTTGTAATCTAGTTTATTCCTTACAATGAAACACAAAAGGCTATTTTGATCCTGGAAGATCACAGGTTACAATTTTAAGTTCTCTTGCTACTGAATGTGTCTTTCCTCTTTCTTAATCGTTTTTACCGTCACATTTTGTCTTTCTCAGAGCAGTTCAAACAATTCAAAGTTTATTCAAATTTTCCAAAAGTTAAGATTCATAATTATGAATTTTGGGGAAAAAATTATCCCTTTCCGGCGTCATTTTTTAACACTCTCCAGTGAATTTGAAATAAAATTATTTTGTAAAATCAAGATCTCAGAAAATTGACAAAATGAAGTAAATTTGTCAATTGTTTCCAATCACATATCTTTATGAAAAACGTTCCCGCTTTTATTGTAATGAATGAACAAAAACCAGCCTAGTCATACTAAAATATACTTTTTAAAAAGATAACACATTATAAAGACTATAAACTGATGTTCATAAACATTGTATTACTGTAATACTGCTACAATAATTGACTATAGTTGTCTATAGAAACAAAAAACCTTTAGTTATCAATATTCAATGTAAATTGAACATCTGTGATAGCTGTTCACAATATGTGTACTCTATTTCACTTTATTTCCTGACAAGAGAATACAGAAAGTGGTACTCAAACTTCCGATAA